TTCGGCATTTGATAGTCGACGGACTCGGATGCTACCATCCTCAATTAGGGAAACGAGCGAGCGAGATGCCGTAAAAAATAACCCTTCGGCGAATTTGAATTTATCGCGCGAGGCACGCCTACATCTGCATCGGATAATACAACCGCGGGGCTGCCGTTTGCATTCGATTAATCGACGGTACCGCGTGATAAATCCACGTTTTTACGAGTGCGCGTTCTCCCGCGTGTGCCTCGCGAAAATTAACATTTTCAGCAGCTTGCTACATTCTATTACACGCTACCGTTCGCCATCGAAATTAACGACGATCACTAATATGTCGTAAGTGATAATGAAAACTATGGAAAGTCGCTAAGTCGTTCCACATCGTGTCAAAAGAACTCATGACTCACGACCTGACATCTTCAATGCAGCGTTGTTCCCGACGGATTCTGTTTGCGGGGATCTCGCCAACTGAACGGGGAATGCCATTTTTATTTCCATGAATATCTGCCGCATAGCTGTGAGCATTGTATTTCCACAATTTGTACTTGAACTGAAATTGATAGAGCATATTTATAAATTCATCACAAATAAAAGTAACAAGTATATGTTAAAGATTAATCAAATATTTCTAATTTATTTTATATATTACACTGAGCAATAATTTTTAGTCTCATTTGTTTCTCAGTAGGAAATAAGCGTTTCTTGTACAGCTTTTTATCGAAAAGAAATCGATATATTTTTCCAAAAATTCCATTATTCATTATTTTTAGAAATTCGGCTTAGAATTTTTTATGCAATAACGTACATTTGTAATACATATAATATATTATATAATAGTATATGTAAGTGCGAAGGTGGTAAATAGCAGACAGCGCATTGGTCTGCTATATTTAGAGATTCCAGGTTCGATCTCCGACAGAACTGAAAATTTTCGTACACTCGTAGCTCCTCTCGGAAGGCAATGGCAAACCACTGAGTAGTATACTTGCTTAGGAAATCTCTCTACCAAGAATTGTCGTTCGGAATCGGTGTTTGAACTGTAGGTCCCCATATACCGTGTGTACGATCAGTGTACGCACAAAAGTATACGAGAGGGAGGGGCGCCTACTGTATAACATAATGTACTACATAATTACATATACTATTTCTTTTTCAAGTGCCATACGTTGGTGACAGCATATGACACTTGAGGAAGAAATAGTATATGTAATACATTACGTTATGCATTATATAGCAGTTATAAGAAATTTAAATGTTTTTTTACAATGTATGAGACTAAATATGGTATATAAATTTTATTAAAAACAATTTTTAAGAGATATATATTAAAATATTAAAATATTTAATATAAATTAAAAATATTTAATATAAAAATATATGCTGATTTACAAGGTTTCTGTTTCTCACTTTGAGTAACGTAATTATATATTTTATTTCGTAAAGTAAGAGGAAAAAGTTACAAATTGTTTAAATTTGTAAAATTTTTGCAAAAATAAGGTTCTTAATATCTGTGGATGATGGAACTATTTAACCTTATATTTACTCCAGCAAATAAAGAAATATATAAAAATCTTCACATTCAGGTATTGAGAAGTGGAATTTTGTAAATCAATTGATATTCATTTATTATACATATTTACATACGTATCCTTTTTTTAATTATAACACTTATATAAAAAATAATACACATAATATTATTTATTTATATTATAAAATTGTTTGTACGAACTATATTTTTTAATAAATCTACTTATAATGACTTTATTTATAAGATTATCGGGCATCAAAATCTTTAAACCTCTTTAACTTCAGAAAATGTGAAAATTCTACAAAATTGTACTTTATTATTAATTATTGGTAATTATATAAAAGTTGACATAAATAAATGTATATTGTATATAATCACGAATCTGTATTCTTAAATACATAATATCTAATAAATTTTATCATTTACGACTGATAATGCACGGTGCCGATCGGTCATTTAAAACAATCGACTCGCCGGTCGGAATCTCACGCGACGACGGGGGATATAATATCGCCCGGCAAATGACACGCCATGGGGTAGCAATCCGTGGCTAGTAGTTAGGGTGGTGTAAGACTACGCGCCGAGGTCCGGCACGCAATTTCTCCTTTTTAAGCCAGACAGGTCGGCCGCTCGAGAACACTCGTAATGTGCACGCGGAATCGTACAATATTGACTTTCCGCACTCAGTTCGTGCATTACGCTAATAATAATTGGGATAGGCCATACTGTGTATCGCTCGCGTTGATACCTAAATTTACCTATATGGATCGGGGCAATTACATACAGATATATAATTCACCCCTTTTTCTTCTATGGTTTTGTGATACTGGAGTCAGAAACACATAAAAAAATAAAAATAAAGCGTAAGCACTGAGCCAATCGGCCAATCACAGTAGAGAATTACTTTACGTTTTTTATTGTGATTTGTCGATTCGCTTAATAGCGTTTTTCACTGGCAGAACTGGTGCGCACTCAGTGCACTTTAAAGTCGTTAGTACACAAATCGACGTAAAGATGTACGTTTAATAAAAATATAGAAACGAATTAAAAAAATCGCGAAATCCTCAATACATTTTATTGTGCTATTTAATAAAATATGTATTGGTATTTTATTAATTGAGATATCTCACCTTTATATTCAGATTAGATTAGTGTAAAACAGCTTTATAATGTATACTAATTGCGTACCAGTTCTACCAGTGAAAAACGCTATAAGTCTTATTGCTTTACGTTTTTTCATGTATTTTTATCTTGAAAAGCTAGTTTAAAACAGTATTTACATTAGAGCAGTAAGCCTTAAACCTTAAGAAATTGATCAATCATAGTCAATTATTCTTTTCACATTCGATTGTGATTGGTCAATTTCTTATGGCTTAAGGGTTACTACTTTATTGTAGACACCGTAATCTTCAATGTAAATAACGTTTTGTAAATAATGAAAATTCCAAAGGAAGCGTGTTAAATGAGAGGATTAATGTAAACCGAGTTCAGATTCTGAAACGAAATGATGACTCTTTTCGCATAAACATCCAACTTTTTTTACACCGAAGCGAAGCTTCGAGTACGATCTTTAAGGCAATTTTAGTTTTGAAGAACTGTCTAAGAGGCCGGCGCTATATTTTTTTGCCTCCGTATAATCTTTCTAATTGACACGTTAAATAAACACGACAGGTAATTAGTTTGCAAGGGGTGGAGGGGAGGGCGCGAAATAAAAAAGGTGCCGCCGTGAAATAAACACAAACTCGCAATTACATCTCGCGTCGCAGAAACAAGTTCAGGACTCGTGGACGCGTGGGATTTAAATGCGAGTATTTATTACCGGCTGGTTAAATTCCCAGTATTTACCGGGAATTAAGAGATACGCCGGCCGGCGCGGCCATATATTTCCCGCTTGTCGCCACACGTATGCGCGCGTGTTCCGGTGCCGTTTGCTCTCCCGTTGCCAAGTTTTTCGACACCTTCGAAAAGCCCTATCAAGCGGAACGATCGCGTCTAATCGTATTTATGATTAGATCTTACTCACAAATTGAATGGCTAACTATTCATGATTTAATTACCGACAATCAATGTAGCTTTTCTGCGCGCGTAGAGAGGACTTCAATCGCTTCTTAAAATTGCTCTCCATAAATATTTCATTACTTCCTCCGCCACGAAAACGTCATTAAAATTACATTAATTCAATAATAATTGCATGGTATTTTTTCATGCACAGTTTAATATCTTTACCGTAATGTATAATAGAGGAATATATAATAGAGGGGACAATACCTTTTTGTTTCATTGAACTAATTCAATATATATTAATGTGACACAACTACTTTAGTACAATTTTGTTAGTTATAGAGTGATACCAATCATGCTATAGGTAGAAGTTCTTTGGATATACAGAACGAACGTAATTTATAAAAAACTAAAGAGAGAAAAAGGCTGTGAATACGAAGGGGAATATACAATAGAATACCATTACCACTAGCATATTGCTTATTTACACGTTGGATATATGCACATATTCCGTTATCAAATTTAGTTCGATTGTGTTATTTGAAAGCCACATTTAAGGCCTCCAAGTTAGGCTGAAGTTACAAAATTAATACCAACATTCTTCTCAGAATTACGTATAGAGTACACTTTAAAACTGTTTGATACTTGCAAACCTGAAATGTAGCTTTTACGACACAGTAAACGCTAATGATTGTCATGTCAGTCGTCATGTTATAATGTTCAAAAAGACTGTGAAGAAGTAATTTTGACGATCGCCCCTAGAATGCAACGTAAGCTATATACCTACAAGACATTATGATATTCTACGACCCTCCACCTAATATTTCATAATTCCTCCTTTCCTTTGATAATAATAATTATATAGAATAACGTTAATGAAAATATCAAATTCCCTGAATCAAGTTTAAATAAAAATATTTAAACAAATTCACCTAAATTATGAGACTTAAGTCCTACACTCCAACATAATTTGCAAGTGATTAACGAATAATTTCAATAAATTATACATTCGAGATATTCGTTTATGCATAAAACAGGAATAATTGAATGTTCTATGCTTTTGCGTTACGAAAATACATTGATGAGAATCGATCCATCCAATCGTGATCTAGAGCCAATAAAGCCTTCCGAACGTCACTTCCGATCGTCCCTTCCCGTCGATTTAACCAGAGAGTCAGCCAACCAGGACCCACCAACTTCTTGATGCCAGTTATACATGATCAAGAATCGCACGAAAAGGTGTATTAATATATAATTAACCGGTCTGATTGTAGATCCTATCAGAAAAGCCTCTTTATCGATCGATATACCCACTACCCGTATTATGAGAAGAATCTTTTTTAAGTAGCTTGTTCTCGATGGTCTTCTCATTTCTTTTCGTTTTCGTCCTTTTCCTTGTGTTCGCAGCCTGTCATCAAAATTCACATGGTTGCAGTGTGTTCCACGGTCATGTGTCATTGACCAAAGCTATTGTGATCCGGTTTTGCAGGCCACATGGATATCCACGAGGATATAGATCTGGACGATCCAATAACACATGAATCCAAGTAACCATAGAGTCAAACGGACACTGTCCTTTTGAGAATGATAATCCCAGACATTTAAGTTTGATCATTGACTCAGATAAAAATAAACGAGCTATATACGGTCAGATATCATCGGACATCGTTCACTTTAATTTATATCTGCATTGATTATATTTGATCAGGCGTATAATTAAATGCACGTTACGTAACGTAGCGAAGATTCCTCGGGGCTCATTTCCATCGATCCTTTTCGGCATTCACCCGCCGGTTCCCGTCTCATCTTAATTAGATCCTCGCTCTTCGGACGTCGCATAATCAAGACGATCATTTGCATCGACTTGCAAACAGGATTTAATATCTCAGATTTTGGTCGCAGGATTAATGCGTGCATAATCGCGTCGCGCTACAATTGCGCAAGTTTAGGAACCCGAAAGAGATATATGGAGCGTTTTTTCTATTTAAAAATTTGAAAGTTGTAAGATAAACATTATCTATCACTTATAATTCTGTATCTTATTGTTAGTTTATCAAAGAAGCAAATCTAATAAAAGTGTTTTACAATACATCATCATAATTAAAGATGTACCAGTTTCTGCAAAAGTGACTGGAATTGGAAATTTATACTTAAAAATGAATGTTATACAAATGAAACAGTTCAATAAGATCAACCTTTATATTTAACAATACAATTTTATAATTTAAATGAAAATTTTTTATCTTAATTATTTTTTAAGAACATCTACCATCTTATTGTAATACTTTTTTTACTAAATCGCTCTCAAACTTTTTGTATTACTATCAAATACTTATACAGAAAATATAGAAAAATCTAGAAATTTTTACATATTTTCATTTCGTTCAAAACAAAGAATATAGTAGACAGAGATGAATCGAATTACAAGGCGAATTGGATTAATGAAAATTTGAGATACTTAAGCCGGCGGCACACGATGCTTGTTTTCCTGCTGGATTGCTAGCTGGATTAGAATCTTGTCACCGTATTGGCTGCGATGCTATCAGTGCCCGACTGTCGAATATGTGTCAAGTATCATTCTGACCCATATGCCCCAAAATTCACCGTTTGCCTGCTTCGTCTTCGCCATTTCCGCAAAATAGTAATCGTTAAACAAAAACACCTTTTCTCTGCCAAGTATTCCGTGGATCTTCATTTCGCACCTCGTGAGTCAGGTATGATGTTAGGAGTCGTTCTTGGAGCAAGTCGAAAGCCTCCTTTTCCCTCCACGCGGTTCTCGGCAGGCAGGGGAAAGAGGGGAATGTAACCGGGCGTCAGGAGGATTGATGGCGTCTAGATGCAAATGCAGTCGGTCTGGCACGCAAGCAACGTATCCACCTACCGACGCCTTATGCCAGTTAACGCCTTACAGCTTAATAATCTTGTTCTCTCTCCTCTCTCTCTCTCCCTCTTCTTCACCGTCCGTGTCCTTTATCACACTCGCGCGCTCTCGCGCGCCAGACTAAATTACTTTATTAACCCCCTTTTCCCGGGATCATTCTCCCAACCCTCCCGATCTCAGAGGACTAAAACGACCGGTCGGTCCTCACGCAGAAGCTATCCTGCACTTTGTTAAACACCGGTATTATTAAATTCGTAATAACGTTTTGAGAAGTCGTGAATATGCTTAATAAATAATTTATTTATGGTAATGTAAAAAATAATGAGTCTTAATAATGAAAACGTGCGTTCGGTAAACAATGATAATATATTTAAAATATTTTCTAAGAAGCATCGTATCCATTAAGGACGTAATAATAAAATGGAACAGTAGATGATAAAAAGCTGTTATTTAATTATTATATTAGATCGAGAAATGAATGGAAAATAACGTTATAATTCGGCATTATAAATCCATGATGTACAACATATTATTATTAAGTTTGTTTAATATTTTACTTATATTTATTAAATTAAAAAACTTAATCAATGTTTTTTGGTAGATTCTATATTCGAAGAAAAAATATAGTTCATAGTAGCAATTATAAAAATGACAACTATTTTGTATGTAGAAGTTTTATACATAGTGTTTCAATAACTACTTCCATTTAAATATCTTCGAATTTAAGTTTTAGAAGAAAATTTGTGTAACTAAAATTGCACGGTGCAAAGAGGGCTATCATATGGCAATAACAATTTTCGGTCAATTGAAGCCGTTTCGATTCAAGGTCAACTTGGTTATTTTAAATGGAATTATATGATTATTTTTGCATAACATGATATGATGTTTATTTATATATTATATGTATAAACCTCTTTACTCTTCGTTTAAACATAAATGAAATATATGAAATTATTTAAAATTAGAAATACACCCTCCGGCGGACACGAATGTATAAGCGTATAATCCGAGTATAGGATCCGTAACATTGTGCCATCTGCTCCGACTCCTATCGCTTTACGAGTGGCAACCGTTTGCGAGGTGTTTCAAGTTTCGGTTGAAATCAACGAATGCCAATTTTCTCAAAAACTATCAATTTTCGGACCTAATATACATAAAAATTACTCGTTTTTTAAATATCTATCGATTCCCCCAGGTTTGAAAGCGATCCGTTGTCGTGACCTAAAATCATGACTTTCTCTCGAAAAATACGCAGAAAAATACATATTTATTGCTTTACAGAGATTATTTTTTGATGCCTCAGAATAACCACGCAAAAATTGATCGAAATTCGTGAAATACATATGTGAGTCTCTCCTTATAAGAAGAACTTATTTTGGAACAAACGTTACAATTGTAAACGCAAATGGTTGAGCATTTGGCGCTCGCGTGTCGCCCCGGTCCTCTAGTAGGGTTAATCGCACTTTAAAGGGGCGAGATGCGGACGTAAAGTTTAGCTGACCCGAAATGGGTATCGTCGGCGTGTTACCTTCTCACCTGGAAACTGGTGTTGCTTACCAGGTAGGAGGCGGCAGTCTCTTGGGTGCCAGGATGTCGTTCCTAACGCTAATGACGTCGTTGACTCTCACTTAACAAGAGACTACCCTCTAAATGGGGGCTTGCGTCCTGGAAGCGGCCCGGCGGCGCTCACCAAGCCGGTGATTACGAAACTTGGATTCACTTCTGAATTGCATTCGTCGTGTAAGTGCCGTGTATGGAGTTCGTTTTGCGTTCGCGTTACGCTATTCTGTCACGACGTTAAATGGCGGATAATCAACTATCAAGTCTACATAGTCCGCATTTTTATTATCAAGAATAACAAAATATGCAAACGTCATAAGAAACGATGAGCATATTGACGACATTAGAAATCCTCAGTGATATTTCCGTACACAATTAGGACGACGGGGAGACAAAGGAATGATCGGTTATCTATTTGTCATAGCTATTCCAGTATTGATACATTTGAACAATGTTTAAATAAAATCGACACGCCACCGTTTGTCTGTACTACATTTATGTTGAAAATTGATGCAGCATGTTTTCGCTTCGCAACGTCACGCCATGCTACGCAACGGAACGCAACACAACGCAACAAAAGGTACGCGAATTGCCAGCCATTTGTGCCAGGACAAGGCCATGGTACATGATGCACAAAGGTGTTAGCTGGGACGACCCAGGTGTAATTTCAATTTAATTGCACGTTATTTCGGGCGTGTATACGTGTATGCGTATACGCGCATAAGGTAGGACAAGGACTTATTAAACACCTTCGGGCTGCACTTCGCTGCCTCACTGACAAGCTCACTCGTTTCGCCTTATCTGGTCTGCGCGTTCTTGCAAGATCAGGAAGGATCATGAAAGGAGAGGATGATGCTCCTTTTAGAGATCTCAATCTTCTCACGGTGGTATATCAGAACTTGACGATGACCGAACAATTAATTCCTTACAGAACTTTCCTCGTCAGGATTTCACTGAACTTTCGAACTTGAATCTTCCATCTGACTTCTCGAAGTTTGATGCGAGTTTTACAAAATGTGTATATACGTTTATCTATGATAGCGAATTGACCTTTAGAATCATTCTATTAACGATATATAAAGGAAATAAGAAGGTTATAGAATAATATTTTATTTTATTGAAATAACTCACAAGTTTGTAGTCATAGAGTGATTCCAATTATAAGTATAGAAGTTTTTCTATCTATGGAAAGAAAACTTCTACCTGTATAGGCTATACAAAAATAGAAGAAGTAATTTACAAAAAACTGAAGAGAGAAAAAGATTGTGGTTATAGAATAGAAAGAGATGTAGAATATACTATCAATTCATACGTAATGTAACTTTATATGTTGGATACACACATTTTGTTATCAAATTTAGTTCAATTACATCATATGAAAGTTACATTCAAGGTTTTCAGGTTAGACGGAAGTTACAAAATATATACCAATACATACTTTTCAAAATTAAGTAAAGAGTATATATTATATATATCTGTAAAACTGTTCGCTATCTACAAAATTGAAATGCAATAAATGACACGTTAAACATTAATGACCAGTGAGTATGTTGTAACATCTAAGAAGACTGTGAAGAAGTAATTTTAACGATCACTCCGCCAAAATGCAGCATAAATTATACAAGATATCGCGATATTCTACAACCCCTATTTCATAACTGTCTCCTTTTCTTTATATAGCAAATGTTAAATTGCATACCTTCTTAAAATAGAATTTGGTGCAGAAATAATCTCTCGAAATTCACTCTGATTTGGAAAGTCCATCTCATTGAAGAAGATATGAATTCATATAATTAAAATAATCTTACAAATGAGATAGGTTGTATTAATTATTACTTATGGGATCCGTTTTCGCTCTCAGTCTTTTAGTCGTTGTTTCTGATCGAACTCTTCCGGTAAAGGATTATCGCTCTTCGCGGCTGGCGAAGAACCAGTTCCGCCGATATCTACGACATGCACACACATTTTCTCTCTTACTCTCCTTCTCCCTCCCCCTCTCTCTCTCTCTTTCT